TTGGCAGCCTGCAAAACAGACCGCTCTGTACAGTCTGCAAACGAGCGCGAGGTACGGTGAGCAGAGTTCGGGTGTGGGCAGATCGAGGCGGCACAAGTAAGGGGAAGCAGCTTAGCAAGATTTGAGAATCCAGTTTACCTTGGAGCATGCTGCTTGGAGAGAGTAAATCGTGCTGCATTCTTCGCACTGCTGGGATGGGATGTTGGAATGAAGCAGAAGGCTGCCATGAGAAAGAGCTGCCCCATGAGCGGGTCGATCGAGTGCAGCCCATGTTTCTCATTTAGCTGCTTACTCACACATTCTCTGGGCAAACAGATTATTGGATTAGGCCGCCCTCGCCCAAATTATGCTAGAGTATTCCAAACACACGTTAGCAAAATACGCAGCCATCACTGCGCTTCGGTTGAATTTAAGCCTGTTGGTAGCTACTTTAAAGGACCGAATAAAAAGACCAAGTGCTCGATGGTCCCAACTGACTATGCCAGAAACATGTGAAGCGGAGGTTAATTTGGTATTCAGCGTTGCGCCAAGGTTCCTAATTTGGCACACATCTTCAGGCTAAGTTTCATCAATAAAATACTTGGTTTGGACGGCAACACACCAGAGGGTCATCGTGAATAGTTCACATTTCACAAGGTTGAGGATCGGCCTCCACCTGCCCGACCACGCTACCAGATGATCGAGATCCTTCTACAGCAGCGGACTATCAACCGAGGGCGTAATTGTGCGGACAATTTTACGTCATCGGCACACAAAAGGCAGCCGGATTCAATGACGTAAGGAACACCGTTAACGAACGGTAAAAAAGGAGGGGGGCCAAGAGGGATGTATCCGGGACGCCGGAGGTAACCAGTTGCCGGTAGCCGGAAGTAACCAGTTTCCAATCCGAAGTTTTTTCGGTGCCGATAACCCTCTGACGTAACCCTCTAATGATAACCCTCTGCCGTAACCCTCTAATGATGACCCTCTGACGTAACCCTCTAATGATAACCCTCTGACGTAACCCTCTAATGATAACCCTCTGACGTAACCCTCTAATGATAACCCTCTGACGTAACCCCCTAATGATAACCCTCTGACGTAACCCTCTAATGATAACCCTCTGACGATAACCCCCTGAGTGCAGATTCCTCAAATGGTATAAGTGCTTTGGCTTGTTGGTTAGGAGTTCATGGTTAGCGCTCTGAAAAGCAGCCGAATAACCAGTGTAAATGGCATCCGTCAGGTGTCCGTCCGACATGGCCTCCCAAGCCTGTTTCAGATAAGCACATAAGTTCGTGCTGTAGGAAAGCCTAGGAATAACACCATGCTAATGATCACACGACACAGGCGAGACGTGGCGGGACAACGTATCATACGCAACCCGTGCCAGTGTCTTTCCAAAGAAAGAAAGCAGGAAATAGCTCCATAATTTGACGGCTCCTTTTTATCACCTTTCTCGAAAATTGGTAAGATGTTGGCCTCCTTCCACTTCCCCGGAAAGGCAGTTACAAATCTTGGTGGGTGGAGCGCCTAACTCGTCCGCACACTGGACGATTATGCGGACACTGATATCGTCAGTCCCACAGGTCTTGATGGGACCGACCATAGCTGTCGTGGGTCGCACGGCTGCCGCAAGACTCGCAGTTGGCTGAGTGGCTCAACTGAGTAGCACGGCGCATCTGGAGGGTTTTACACAAAGCTTTTAGCAAATGTCAGGGCAAAGGCGTCATCCAACGCGGCAGCGCGAGGCGTGTAATCCGACGACAGAGTTCGCTCAGAGGTATACGAGACTGGTGATGTGCATGACTTTTTCGTGACACACTTTAAAAACGAACAGTAGCGCTTGGGGTTGGTCGTCGGTGAGTTTATGTAAATATTAGGAGTACTTGAAGTTGGACACGCGCTTCAAACCACGTCTCCTGTCCGGAAGCTCAGTCCTGTCTGAGTCCACGCCTCCTGCACGGGGCTCCTCCTCCGCATCACTAAAATGTAAATAAGTGCATGCATTTAACCCTCATTGTACCTGATGTTATGTGATGCTCCTCTGTTGCGAGATGCTGCGGGCTGCTTTTGAACCACCTTTACAGTTTACACGCGTTCGGGTGGGGCCAAATTGACCCCGAGGATTGTTCGGAATGGTTTTTCGAACGGTGCGGTGAAGCCCCGCCAAATTTTGCATAGCTATGAAAAATTGAATAGCGGATCGTGTGGTATCAAACGGTTAGATGTGCCTTGTAAGATCGCTAACATACAGCAGGCCAAATTCAGGCCATGGATTCAGCAAAGGGAAGTTCCAGGGAATGGCTCAATCTGATTGAGCAACGGAGTGTTAGACGAAGCCATACACCCCTGATATACTTTCTTATACAACATAATAATTGAATGAACAAATTCCATCGACCTAGGGTCAGGTATCAAGGTCAGACAAAAGGTAAAAAACAGCCTGTTGTATTGCTGTAGGGCTTGCTGTATGGGGTAGTTTGTGGTGCTCGTTTCGAGTTTATTGATAACAGGAACCGCATTATAATCTTCCATGGACTTCTCAAAGGTCATGATAGGTTACTGAACTGAAACAACCCAGGTCAAGATTTCCTTTTCGGGAACACACTGCCTGGCGTAATCTTTGTCGCTTATTCAAATACAATTGAACATGATTGATTGATGAACAAATGCAGTTGAATATGAACAATTGAACAAATGAAGCTCAAGGCAGTCTTCTATGATTCTGGTCACCACGACCTTCAAAAGGTCAAACAGGATCACTGACCTCAAATGAGCATGTGAACTCTTGCTTGGGGCAGGTATCTAGGTTCTGGAGATACTATGGAGACCGATTTGGAATTTGACCTTGTTTGACCTTAATTGACCCGAAAGTATGACCTAGGAACTTCAAGCTTTGACCTAAGCGATTTCATGTACAGGCCAACACACGCTGTAAATGTAGTGTCTCTAGGCCTCTCAGTTCCTGAGATCTCAAGGTAGGGTCAACTGGATCCCGCCACCCGAGCCAAGGGCATTCAACCTGCCACCCGGACGCGTCTTAACGTGGGTATACTAGAACCGACCATGAGATGTCGGGTTCTGTGTCATGCACCCGGGTCATGTAAATTGTGTCTGGTGCTCAGGCTCATGCATAGCCACATTCTTTCTGTAGATGTGTTGCACGCACGTGTTGTCCAGTTTTAGTATTTTGTCACTTCTGAACATTCGCAGAACTTTGACTGCTGGGCGTTAGGGTCCACAGAGCCCCCCCCCCCGCCCCATGCCGCTTGCTGCGAACCAGCAGGCTTCGAAATGACCGTAAGGGTGAGATCAGCTGTATTGCGGGTCGTAATGTGAACCTTTTCGCAACGGATTTGGGCGGGCGAGGATGAAGCAGTCGGCTTGGAGGAGAGGTCTTATTTATAGACCTTGCAACGATGTGGCGACCGTGAACCGCTCGACCGATGGCGCCCAAGGCCAACCACCGTCCAAATGCATTATGGAGTGGTTTTGATAATCCATTTGGAACGAAACACTTAACGTGTGACGCGTCTCTAAATGCTCCATACACGTCAACGCGGCTGTCTTCGCAGATGTTCGAAGGTGTTCTTCTGAGATAAGCCGATAACGCGCTAAGAAGCTTGTCAGCGCGCCAACTAGTAGCTTGTCAGCGCAGTTCAGGCGATCACACCGCGTTAAGTATGAAAGTTTGGCTGCCCTCTACGTTAGTAAACATGGCCAAAGTCTTAGGAGTTCTCAGCTTTGAGGGAGGTTATGCTTTCTTTTTCCCCACTCATGCTTCGTCCTCAAGCACGCAAGTCCCGTTAGGAAAACTCCTTGGTGCCGCTCCTGCATGCGGATCAGCAGACACAGAGCTGAATAATGCTGGATGATGTTTCTCTTTTTCGTGCCTCTCAATCTGGAGAGCAGTTTTCTGCACTGTTTGAAGTCTGAAGTTCTTGCTTTGATCGAACGTTGCAGAAGGGGTGAAATTACACGGAAAATTCGACAGTTATCGCCACGTTTCACGTTGCTTGACCTATATGTCAGATTAGGTTTATGAGTCATGCTTAGCGCGAGTTTTCAAAATAACTTGCCTTTAATATGCCTTCGGGCACTGGTTAAATGCAGTGAAGCACATTTGTATGGGATTTCTAAACTGAAATGACCGCCATGAAGATCATTCAGTGCAGTTCACAGCCCAGCCCTTTTTAATACCCAAGCTCCTCTAGTTTCTGAGCTATACGCCCGCTAGATGTGAAGACTATTTCATGCAGACTATTTCAAGGTCGCCCAGACATCCCTGCGCCATATACGCGTCATCCGAATCCTACCATGTCATTTGTCATTCGGCGATCAAAGCCAAGACAAATGATTGTCGAGGCGTTCATATCTGGCGTTCGTGAGCACCATTTCCAAGAAAGCGGACGTCAATTGCCTTTCAATCAATGCTCTTCAAGGTACGATGACGCAATCAACCGATGATTTATTGGAGAGCGAATTCCCTAATCAGAGAAACTGTGTCGCATAGAGCAGTTTTTCACCTGAAAGCATATCAATAGTTATCAGTGAACTTATATCATCATATCTGATGTTTGCTTCAATATTTCATGACATTCAACTCATAGCTGAATCATCACTTCTCATGACAGTCGGTATTGCAATCATGCGTGCAGTCACCCATGTATAAACTTCACGCGTGGCTGAGTATGCAAACTGACCATTTCATTACTCCATCGAGAAGCTTGTGTCTCTGTCAGGGCTTCCGACAGACAATACTCAAAGGCCAGTGGATATTTATGAGTAGAATACACATATTCGGGTAGTACCGGGCTATTCGAGTCGATTATGCTTGTTTTCGTTTTTGTCACCAGGCTTTCTTTTCGGACCACAGTGCAATACATAGCACGTGAAGTATGTCGATGCATGCAATTAGGATGTCCTCTGGTATCTTAGCGGGTAATCGGTAAATGTTCAAAGCACAGCGTCTCGCACTTACTCAGTGTTATTGCGTGCTGCACTCGCATGACCCACGACTACCTGTGACCGGGTCAGTGGTGTGATCGTGTCAATTACACATGCCCATCGGCGCATGGCACGCCACCTTTGAGTTGCTACATTACGACCTCGAAGGCAACGACACCATAATGCTGACTTATTCGCTATGCAAGAGCTTTGTCTCGTCTCGGTCCAACTGAAGGCATGACATCCGTCTTCTAATGCTCATATTCCAATGGGCAAGACTTCGACGGGAGGCATGACCCCCACATCAATAGCATAGCAAATTTACTTTTCGTCTCCCGGACACACAAAGCTCGCACATTGCAAAAACGGGCCGAAATTACGCTAGCATCTTCGTGCTCACAACAGGACGCGTTTAAGAATGACGACAGAAGCGCAACTATGAGATCACGCAATGGTCGTTGATATTTGCTCAAATTCGCACAACACCGCCACTAGCATACCTGCCAAAATCCGACGAAATTTCAAAAAAAGACATTTCACGCGAATCAGCCAGATACGAAAATCACCTCACTAGTTGCAACCATTTGCGGTGACGGGATCATTCCAAAAACGAGATCACGGCACGAGCACGACACGCCCCTCACTCGTTTCACACAACACCGACGCCGAAGTTGCCCCACTATCACACAAAGAAGGCCTGACGCCGTCGATTTCTGCCAGTGAAGCGCAGAGGAGGCAAGAAAATGTTTCGGGGAGGAACGCGACGCGATGGTGACGTTGGAAATCGCTGCTGCTGTTGCGGTCGACGCCGCTGGAAGGGCGGTCTCAATTGCTTCGAGGGGATACTTGGTTGCGTTTGCTGCTGCGTCTGAAACTGCTGCTGCGGTTGAAACGGTTGTTGCGGCTGAAACTGCTGCTGCGGTTGAAACTGGGCTTGCGGCCGAAACTGCTGCTGCTGCCGTTGCGGTTGAAACTGCTGCTGTTGCTGCTGCTGTTGCGGTTGAAACTGCTGCTGCTGCTGCCCTTGCTGTTGCTGCCGCCGCTGCTGCTGCTGCTGCTGCTGCTGCTGCTGCTGCTGCTGCTGCTGCCGCTGCTGCTGCCGTCGCTGTTGCTGCAGCTGCAGCTGCTGCTGCTGCTGCTGCTGCAGCTGCTCTTGCTGCCGCTGCTCCTGCTGCTGCTGCTGCTGCTGCTGCTGCTGCTGCTGTAGCTGCTGTTGCTGCTGCTGCTGCTGCGGCACAGGGCGGTCGCCCTGGGCTCTGGACGGGGCGGACTCCTCGGTGGACTCCTGTCTACCCAGCGCCTGCGCGATGCCAGCCAGATACTGGGCGTACGTGCTGTGGTATCCGCCCGGATGCCGGCTGCTGCCAGACGATTGCGGCCTGGCCCAGGCCGGCGCGGCCAGCAGCAGCGCCAGCGCCACCACCAGCTGCCGTCCCGCCATCGCGTCTGGCTCGCGTCTGAAGCGAACGGCGCGGTGCGGCGCTCAGATACGGTCGCGGCACGGTAAGACGCTCGGCGCGGCAGCTGACGTCATATGGCGCCCACACCGAGACTCCCGGAGGCGTCACGGATTTGCAGGAAAGCACAAAATGCTGATACTGATCGGCACGTGACATTAAGCAAAGTTTGATGGGGAGGGGGAAAACGTGAATCCCCAGAAACATGGATTTCGTTAAGACCTTCTTACGCTTTTTAAAGATATGCTGGGGTGATATGAAAACCGCAATGCGAGACAAAGACAGTCATTGGAAGAACAAGATATTGGCAAAAGGTTGCAAGGTTCCACCCACGCTGGCATGCACTATCCTGTGGTAAGGAAACGGTACTGCAAATGGGATAAGTTGTGAAGGCATGCGCCAAGGGTAATGACCAATTTGAGCCCAAGCCATTTTAATATCGTACTACTAAATAGACACCCATAAGACATTGATGCTCTCAGGCAGGGTATAGTTTCACAAAATAAACTGGGGGAGGGCGGGGGAGGGCTGAGCCGTGAAAAATAATGCATTCTATCCCAAAATGCACATGCAAACGGGTTTCTCACTGCGTTTGAATCACTTTTTTCTCAAAATGGGGAAGGGGAGCTGAAGCCAAACCGAACACGAAACTACACCGCTGGTCTCAACCGTTACTTGTGCCAGTAAAGCCCGATCCCAAATACCAAAACTGCAGAACACCGCCTCACGAGACCGCTGCGCCTGACAGCCCTCCCGGCGGCCGGACAGGGCGAGCCCGCGCGGCGGCCTCGGCTCCGGCCCGGCCGCGGGCTGGCCGCGCCCGGCGCTCTCACCTGCGCGCGCCGCTACCGCCGGTCCGTCAGTGACGCCGGCCGGTCCTGCAGACTGCCGCTGGCTTCCGGCGCCGCCGAGGTCGCGGCCGCCACCGCCGTGACGCCGGGATTTCCAGACCGGTACGGCCCGCGCAGGGCGCTGAGCTCACTGGGACAGGCTGGCCGGCGCGCCCGCCAGCCGAGAAGGCCGGACGTCATCCCGGCCGGACGCTGAGGGGACGGCCGACGAGACCGGGCGCCGCGCAGCCCTGGCACCGGTGCCTCGGTCGGACTCGGCGTGGTGATGAACAAGCAGGCGCTGGTATCAGCGCGCTATGTGGTGACGGAACAGAGGCGTTGATGCGTATCTGGTGCATTCTCTGATCACGCCACTCATGTGTGATCAAAAAATGCATACGCCAAAGTTAATAACCAATTTGTACCCAAGGCATTTTAAAATTGTACTACTGTATAAGCGCTCATATGACACTGATGTTCTCAATTAGGGTGTAGTTTCACAAAATAAACTGGAGGAGGGCAGGGGGCCTCTTCTTCAGCCCGCCAGCGGTTTATCTATTTACCATAGATAAACCGCTGGCAAGCTGAAGAAGAGAGTGCACATGTGCATAAATGTGTGAGTGTGCATAGAGAACATAGGCGTATGGAGTGCAGGGTGTGCAAAAAGTGTGCAAATTGTTTATGTGCATGGAATACATAAGCGTATTTACGTGTCTCCTACCAAAATATAACAAACGTTCCTTGTTGCATGGCTTTCGTAACGCGACAGAGGGAAAGGCACCCCAAATTTGCCCAAAATTTGAATCAGTCTTTCCAACCTTGCGATGTTCTCCAGATCCCACGTTCCAAAATTGCGTGGAGGGGCACACATTGCATACCGCAGTGCAAAGCTACATGCGCAACAGGCGCGGCGCAGCCACAGGTGCTCTGCTACTGGTGGGTTGCATGATGAGGTATCCGTTTCCCGACGGTCGACGCTACGCCTTCGTCTACCTTGTCATAAAATTCGAAAAAATTAGATAAACTTTCCCCTGCCGTAGAATGGCGGCGCTAAATGCTTAAGTATTGTTTCAACGGTGGTCTAGACAAATGTACGAAAGTCCGCCAAATAAATCGGTTGCTTGACATTCACGCTACCACAAATTCTGACAAAGCAGACATTGGAAATCATGTCTTCGATTAAGCAGCAGGTAATACAGTAGCAAGCACCTAAGGCTGGGCTTAGGCTGCGCCAAAGTTTGCCGCTTGATATTTGAAATACCGTGCTTGCCAAGTTGCAAGAATGTTGGACCATGGGGTTGGAGAGTAAGCTGCACTGGGTCTGTTACGCTTAAAACAAGTTTCAATATTCATCAATTTTAAACTTGATGCACCTATTGATCTTCCGGCGTTCCATCAACAGAACGTTGGATGAACGGCATGCGCTGTGTGCACGTACATACCTACGGCCCAGTTGTGTACTGAATGATAGAGGATACCGATGAAAATTAGTGGCGCAAATCTTCCAGGACGAGCGTTTTTCGACCGAATTTTGTATCCATTTTGAAGGTGAGATTTGTTCACAGCGATTTGTTGATTTGATGCGTTGGGTAATTAAGCGGTCCTTTCCAATGTCATGCTGGTAAGATATCTCCGTTCGATAGTTAAGTTGGTTAGAGGGTGTCTTTCCACTCCCTCCCCGTCGCTGAGCGGGGTGGGCTTGGTTGACTTTTGGAGCTCACCATTTGCCCCGGCTGGGATGACTTGCTGTCTTTAGCAGCCGACGCGCTTAATATCAGGTGACGTCAGAGGGCGGGCTGCACCGTGTCGAGCACTGCAGTGTCTTAAGCTTTCGCTGGAAAAATCTGTCGATGACCGGGAATTTCATGATCGGATGATAAGTTCAAGACTCACGCAACAAGCACTGCTTAGAGTGGACCATGGTCCCAAAAATCCAGCCAATCAAAAGGTTTGTGCTAAATTGTTGGCAGAAAGCCATGCAGGTAGAACAATAATTTGTCCTACGCAATCACTGCAGAAAGGTTTATGATAAGCTCCAAGGATGGCCCCTTTGGATGGCGCAAGGTCTCACAAGGCGTTGGGAAGATATTTTTGACATGGGCTCTTTGGAGCTAAATTATTCCTGAGAGGATTGGTAGGCGCTAGAAAACGAGGAGTCACCCAAGGAAATGCATGCTAGTTGCCTGCGGAAGCCAAGGGGGGGCGCAGACATCGGCGGAATAGTACGCACAGCGATCTGAGGTGCCGGAACCGTCCAGCACTGCCGTGGTGCAGTCAAAAGTCATCAGAACACATCAAGGCCAATGGCTTCCAATGCAACCGAAGGGGTCGGGACGGCTGAAAATGGGAGAATTCAACGCGTTGCGTAAACTGATTAACTCTCTTAAGGTGGGCAACGGGCTAGCTTGGATACACATTTTGGGAAAATTGCAGATACGGGTACGAGTAAGGGTAAGACCCTCCCGAAATGTCCGGTGTTGTCTGTAGTAATTCTACACAATGTCATTGGCTTGTGCCTCTTTTATACATTATTAACACCATTTCCACTACTTTTACAATCATCAACTCATAAGAGTACATTTGGGCGTATACTTTCCTGCTGCTCTTCAATAATTTGAAGCTTAAGTCTTGGAAAAAATGCGAACGAGGGGCGGGCTACAACTGATCAGGAATGGGTAGCGAGTTGGTATGGGCATAGATAGCCCCATGGGTAACAGATGAATTGGGTAAACGAAATGTTTCCCATGCAAACCGTAACAGGTCATGGAAACACAAATGGCTCCCAATGCAGCCGGAAACAGTGATTCCTTTCCGTGCCTCCTCTCCGACTCAGACGTGCTCCACAGATATCAGTGACAAGTTAACGTACTAAGCTTGAAAGGAGAGAAGATATCCAAGACTGTCCGGTGGCGCTCAAGCTGAATGGAAAGTCCAAGTTCCCGGAGCGATCAGGGGCTCCAACGCTTTGGACTTTCTGATCTGTTTCGGAGCCAAAACTCACGAGAGACGGATTAAAAGTCGCCGAAAGACCTGAACAAACGATCGTGGCAACAGAAACACTCGGAGCGGTCAAAGACCCTAGACGCTCTGGGTATCAAAGTAAGACAGTCATTGGTCCGCAGATATCGTTCAGCAAAAAGAACACGGTAGGAGCTTTCTAAAAATGTATGGTGCCCAAAAATGGGGACTGGCCGACCGAAGTTAGGTTTCGCTGTTAGATAAAGCGACCACGAGATATGCCACAAGTGCCTCTGGGATGACCAAAAGAATGCATAATACGGCTAGCGAGGCACAACAGAGTCACTGAGGCTGTTATTAGTAGCAAAGCTCACAGAGACGGTCGCGCTGCCTGAGATAACGACACTTCAGTGGAAGCTTCAGGCGTCCGTGACGATCACAGGGATCGGTTAGAAATAAGGCCTGGGAGGCGGCCAGGGCCGACAAATGCCGGAAGGTTGGGGACACCCCAATCCTGACTAACGCAATGCACTACCAAGCTTCCATCTTTCGCAAGAGATCAGGGGTTCCCCGGGCTAATTTGAGCCTCTCGCTCGGTCACACATAGCGCACATTGAGCCGCTTGTTTTAGCGAACCGGGTCCATTTAGTTGGCCACTTCAGCTGGTGATGGCACTCATCTGTAACATTCCAGCCAGTGCTGGGCAGTCCAATACTGCCTTGGGGCGGGACACAACCAGGACAATTCGGGCATGTGAGGGCACGGGAGTTGCATGGATCATGAAGGGCTAAAAATCAAGGAGAGGCCACTTGTCTCGGTGATAACCTGCCTTCTGAGAAGGCCCATGTATCTCTAGCGGTCTACTTCAATGGGTTGCTGAGTCCGCTCAAGAACTTTTACTGGAAACAGTCAACTAAATCCGATAGATCATAACCCCATGGAAGAGGTCAGGTGACCTCCAGACAACGCGGCCTCAGGGCTCCCGCAACATCACCACATGGCTCCTAAAGACGATTCATGCTTCGAGGTGCAGAGGATATCCCGACACCGCAATGAGTTTTTTGGAAACACCATCTTCTTCTGAACACCAATAAAAACCAGCCAACAGAATTAATTGGCTGCCAACTACTAAACATCATGTGCTAGAGTACTGTTTTGTGAGTCGTCACGAACTATCATCACGCGATTGTTGTGGTCGGAAAGCTGGCCTCTGCCTCGCTCTTGCTCATGGCGCATTCCTAATGCAGTTCGAACACGTCCGTGGCCATCTTGCCCGTCTGTCAGGAGTGCAGTCAGCTGTCGTCGTGGCAGGCGACCAACAGCGTCCATCAAGGCCACGACCGCCGCGTCCAACGGTATTCAATGTCACATTGTGTTAACGGAGTCGACGTTTCCTTGGTTGCATAAGCATTTCCGTATAGCATACAATGCCACATAAGTCTGGCTCGCAGAATGCGGAACTGAAGTGATGCGGTTAACATGAAATGCATTATGCCTGCGATGTGTACCACGTCACATACGGTGCTGCGGTTAAGTGTGAATGCCAGACCCGTGCGAGGGCCGAACGAACTTCGCCGTAGTTCTGCAGATCACAAAGCTGTTGTATTGGGACCTGGGGCCCGTCGTTGTGTGAGCTCCTGAAAGACAACGCATTGCGGTACGCATGCATACTCAAAATGGGGCAACACTGTTACAACCAGAGATTTTTCCTGTACAAGAAATAGGATGCATAAAGTAGGATGCATATCATGCATGCATGATAAAGTCTGACGTCTGACTTTATTATAATTATTATCATAACGTCTGAGTCGGCATGAGCTGATTGCATGCAAATGTTATGGGGAGCATCCCCTTCCGTGCCTTTTCGCCCCGACTAATTTCGATTTCAAATTATTTTCTTGTTTTTCTATTTTCTATTCTACAAAAACGGGAAGAAAAAGGATAATTTAAGAGGCTGCACTCAAACGAGATCCTTGAGCACTGGACAGACTCAGCGTTGAGAGGTTTACGCTCTCTGTTGGCATATGGAGCGCAGCATCGAGTACAAAGTCTGCCAC